CTGCTCACAATGGTGGAAGGGAAAAAAGGGAAATTTGGATGGGAAAAATGGGAAAAAGGGTTTTGGGAAGGGTGTGGCCACACAATGGGTGGGTCGGGAAAATGGGGTAATTGATAAGTGGTCTTTTTTATAAATTCAATTTAGTGTTTATCTCGTCACTTTATTTAGATGAATTTTTTTTATTTTTCTATAGGTAGTAATAATTAATTAAAGCGAACATTCTTATATAATTTTTTAAAAATTGTACATATTTTTTTATCATTAATTAAATATGACGTTATCAATAACGAAAAATATAGTTGTTGGAAACATGTTTGTTGAAAAATAGTCATTGGAAAATATGATGGTTAAAAATATATTCGTCGACTAATAAGACACAATAATCTATAGTCAAAATAATTAAACTAATAATAAAAATAAAACAAAATACATCGGGCCCTGCTCACTCTTTTTCCCTCCTCCATTTGTCTTTTAGTGGAGGGAAATCCCTTCCACTTTTTGCTTCCTTTCCTTTGTTTCCTTTTTCCCCTCCCTTATTGTGGGACTTATCATCCTTTTTCACCTTTTTTTCCTTCTTTTCCCCCACCTTGTTGTGGGTGGTCTTAGGCGTGATATAGCAAACAAGTATTGTTTAGAAAATAAGATTTTTCGACCGCGGCCCCACTACCGTCGGCTGGTGGCCTATCTTCTTCCCGCAAGTGCGTTGAGAATATGTTTCGGGGTCCTCAAAGATATCAAGAATCGAGCCAAGTGGGCAGGAATTAGCTGCAGATTTGGACATTATGGATCTTTGTCCAAAAAGTAGAATTTTTGAAGTTATCTGTAGCCGACTCTAAGTCTATGTTGGTCTTTCCATCTTCGTTGCGTTTGGTGTAAGGTACGATAACAGTGGTTGTGGCCTGTGGGATAAGTGTGTATGTGTCAAAGCTGGGGTAGTTTGTTTTGTTTATTTATTCATTTATTATTATTTTGACGAAAGTAGTTTTTTACATAAAATTATACCGTTTTTCCAGGGACCGGATACTATGACAACACCCTATGTGTTGTTACAGTGATAACAGCACTATCCGCCAATAGGAAAATAGGATTTTATTGACTTTTTAATTATATAAGTTGGACTCAGTTTACCCTGTGTAAAAATCAAATAAGGGAAACTTCGTCATTTAGAAAATTGAAATCTTGACAAAACAATTTATTTCTCTATCAGGCTATCCCCCATCTCTCTGATCCCTCCCATACCAGCGATTCTTCCTCCTCATCGGCGTCGACCGTAAAACTCTTCCACCATCTATCACGCTTCTCTCTACCACATGTCTCAGCCGTCACAGTCAGATCAGATCCTCGACGGACCTTTCTCCTCCAATGACAACCATCTCATCAAATGTGACTCCGCCTGAGACCTTTATCGGTTTGTCTCTAATTTCCGTTCCAATCTCGGCACCCTGATGCTCCGTTCTACTATCACGATGATGTTGAACGGATTCCCCCATTCCAACTCGTTCTGAATCTATCAATGGAGACCAAAAATTACATAATATGGCTCCATTTTAACCTTTCTGGTCCTGCACAAACCGCCACGCCTCCCACCATCCAGCCGCATTTGCTTTAGTTCCCGCCCTCCGTCTCACAATCGATTGCATCCTTTGACTGTTACGTAGATTTTTCCCAAAGCTTAAAAAATAGAGTGTAACTTGAACGAAATCGACAATCGCTTGTATGAATAGAATAAATGGTCAAAGAAACTAAGTAACTCGAAATAAACGAAAAACAACAAGAAATCTATTTGGGTTCCAAACTTCTCATACCATTAAACGAATAGACAAGTACATATTTATAGGCATAGAACATCTCATTTCTCCTACCTAAAATATGAATACTTCTCCAACAAGTAAACAATAACCAAATCCTAAACCAATACTAAAAAACAAACCAAGTCCTTCTAGAATAATGAAAACAATGAACAATGCTTAATATCCCAAATAATAAAAATACCAACTAAATAGATGAGCCCAGAAATGCCAATATCGCTACGATGGCTCGTCTCGTAACATCGACCGTGTACATCGCTTCTCCACCGTCTTTATGTATCCAAGCAGCCGATTATTTTTGCATGAGTTGGGAGTTGGGAATGGGAGAAGTTGGAGAATAATGGGAAGACCGATGATGGAAGGGAACATAATCAAAGGGAAAGGAGATGGAAACTTTTGTGGGAAATCAAAAGTTAATGAAATTTGTCCATTATAACATTTAAGTTATATTAATTAATTTGGGATTGAAATTTTGGTAATTAGTCTCGACTATTAATTGTTTATTTTGGCACCTTTGATTCATTTGTAGAGAATTATTCATTTTGGTAGTTTGGGTCTATATCTTTGAATATTAAAACTAGTAAAGATTTAATTCCAGATTTCTTATAAACAACACTTTATTGTTTAGAAGAATTCAATTAAACTCTACAAGAATTGAGATAGAATAAAAAGGGATTGATCTCATAAAGTAGATGATAAACATGAAAAAGTAAACACACTAGAAGAAACACGAAACAACATAAAAAAAATTATAAAGCAAACCACAAATTTCATAAAACGAGTCATAATTCTCATAAAGAATACTAGAAACACCATAAAGAAATCCAAGTCAAAATTAATTCAAAGTATACCAGAAACACAAGAAAACAAGCCACAAATCTTGTAAAGCATACTAGAAATACGAGAAAGCAAACCACTAATCTGGTAAAGCAAACCATAAATCTCCTAAAACACACCGAAAACGCCATAAAGCATACCAGAAATACAAGAAAGCATACCACAAATGTCAATGGTCACTGGCTTTGTGGTCTGCATTATGAGATTCATGGTTTGGTTTCTCGTGATTTTTATATGCCTTTTTTTATCTACTTTATCGTGTTTATGGTTTGCATTAAGAAGTTTCTGGTGTGCTTTTCGAAAATTATGTGGTTTGGTTTGTACTTTGTGGGGTTTCTTGTATGTTTTAATATATTTGTAGTATGCATTAGGAGGTTTCTGGTTTACTTGTTGTGGTTTGGTTTACCGTGTTTGTGGTTTACATAAGGAGGTTTCTGGCGTGCTTTCGAAATATTTGTAGTACGCTTTGTGAGAATTATGGTACGTGACACGCCAAAACACAACACCATACTACGACCAAGTGTAATCGCAGTCCGGAAATGCAGTAAAGTGGCAAGTTCTAAATATCAACTTAGGGTCTAGATCTACTGCCTACTCCGTGATTATCTATTATCTAGCAAACTAAGTCGATTGATTTTGGTCTTATCTGAAAGCAGAAAGAAAGTAGGAATTGATTCGGTTTTCTGAAGCAAGGAAGAGTCACTCGGGAATGAGTCCCTCTAGCTCCTTAGTTAGGTCTCAGTTGTAATTACCCTGGGTTGATTTACTGTTGATTAAACTGCGGAAGATCCGACAGTATCTTGGAATCTCTTAAGCTGACCAAGCCCTCTCAGTCTAACTACCCGGCAGACGACTAGTCTTCACCGGGATAGAAAGCTGAAGCAATAAGCACAGAACTCCACTACTGGAATTGGATTCCAGTACAAAGCAGTAGACTGACTAACTCTCGTATAGCCAATCTACTACTACCGAATGATGAAGCTCTCACAACCTAATCAGATTCTATCTATCTCAGGTTGCAGCAGAAATCAAGAAAAGCTGATCAGACTTCAATCAATTCAATGAATCATGCATCATTTGATTAAAACCAAACAGTATAGCAATCCCAAGTCATTACAATCCAGATCCCTAACACATGGAACTAGGGTTCTTCATACCCAAGTGAGAGAAGGGTCTATTCCATAGAGAGAGAGAGAGAAAAAAACATAATACAAAGCAGTCATACTCATAACAATGGGAAGAATCTGCTCTGGGATGATGATTTTCACTCCTATGATGATCTACAAGCTCGATTTGATGAAACCCAGCTCCAAGATCGCTTCTAGGGTGTGTTCTTCGCACTTTCTCTCTCTAGGGCTCTGTTTTTGCTCTGAAAAGTCGATTTTCTCTGTTTTGGCTCGAATCTGCCTCAAAAACCGGATTCTGGGTGAATTACGGGCAGAATTACGATCATAATCATGGTCTGCCCGTAATTGCCCAAAACGCGCATTTCCTTTTACTCGGAAGACAGGATTTATGGTATTAATTTGCCAATTACCGCCAGTAGTTACAGAATTACGACCATAATTTAAGTGACTCTTGCCCGTAATTGACTATGCGACAGGAATTCTGGAAATTAGGCTCGACATAGAAATTACGGGCATGCCAGGAGCAATTACGACCGTAATGGTGCAGGGGCTGCCCGTAATTCTCTCTTTGAAACGCACCTCGACCTCCAAATGACCCGAAACTTGCGCCTATGCACCTCTTTACTTGCTAGAACCTGAAATGCGACAAAACAACACAACCTAGCGTAAAATAGCAAGGAACAACAACTTCGAGCTAAAATGGTCAGGAAACAAGGGTGAAAACATGTGCAAATACGATGCTATCGGTACGGTTTAGGGGATTTCTGGTATGCATTGGGAGAATTCTGGTATGCTTTTTGTGGGTTGCTTTACGCCTTTTCCTTGTTTGTGGTTTGCATTAGGAGGTTTCTGGTGTGCTTATGAAAATTTTGTGGTTTACTTTGTAGGATTTCTAGTATGCTTCATGAGATTTGTGGTCGACATTAAGAGGTTTTTTGTGTGCTCTAAAAATATTTGTAGTATGATTTTGTGGTGTTTATTGTTCGCTTTAAGAGAGTTATGGTTTGAATTAAGAGATTTTTGGTAGTGTGGTCTGTTTTATGGTGTTTCTGGTATGCTTAGCAAGATTTATAGTTTGCTTTCTCTAATTTCTGGATTGCTTTAAGATATTTGTAGTATGCTTTATAGTATTTCTAGTCTATTGTGCTAATCTCTTGTTTGTGGCACAATTTGCTCGCATTAGTAGTATTCAATTAGTAATAAACGCATTCCACCTCTAACAACAATCATGAATGATAAACATTCATTTCATATATCACTAATCAAAGCCATCAATTCACAATTTATCAATAAAGGGCTAAATAGGATACAGACGAAACAAGTAGTGCTTGTAAAGCTAATTGCATAGGAAGTTCTTTGAACTTCACTTCCCGGTACTTGTAAATTGCCTTTGTTTTGCCACAAGAGAGAATAACTAGGTGTCGGGTGGCTGCAATAAACCTGGAAAAGATTCAAAGAATTGAAACAATTTTTGATTTGTGATCAAAGAGACATCACATATAATATGCATAGACTCCACTAAATGAAAGGACAGGTGGATATCGAACCTTCACTATCACATTTAGGAAATTTTCACCCTGAAGATTTCCAGCTTCGACTGCATTAATACCAACACACAACATGATGATGATGATGATGATACAAGAGCCAAACGCCAAATTCCTCTTGACAAAATTCGCTAGCCTGATCATCATCAAATCCGGCGCACATAAGTACCATAAACATCATCAAATACATGGCTTCTCACATTCTTGTTCTTGCCGCAAAACCAACAGTCAAATCAGAATCCACACCGTTGATAGCATTGTTGTTCCCACCATCCCCATCCTGGACGAAAGTTGAAAATAATCTCACATCAATCAGACTGAAACTGCCAACTTCGAAGCATTTTAATGGAGATCAAGGAATAATTATAGATTTGATGAGAAGGAAAGCCAAAAGTGGGACAAACGTGGCGACCTATTGATGACACCATGTCTTCAAATTGAATCCCCTTTCCAGGCCAGCATCTTCGTGACGCCTTTGAAGACCCTCTATTCGACGATGGCGCCCGATCCTCCCTGTTCTCGTAGAACACCAGTTTGATCTTCTCCACCGCGTCGCTTTCCCTTCTATCGTAACTGCTCCTATTCCCACCGGCGCCGCTCTCGATCTCGATCCCGACCTTCGATGATCCTCTGTTTCCTACTCTGCCGCCACTGCTGCAGTAGGCAACTGGGAACAACGCGATTACAAGGGATCTAACACCGATATTGACAATTATCAGAGCCATCCCGGCGATGCTCAATGCCAGGATACGAGCTCCGATAGCCAACGTCCTCTCGATTTACCGTCGGCGACACAAAAGCAGGGGAGAATGAGAAACCAGAACTTGTCAATACACATTTTACCAGCCTTGAGCCGATTGGATTGGTTTGGGTAACAATGGGTTTGTTTTCAATTGCTTTTCGTATGTGAATTAAGACATCAAAGTACTTAAAGAAAGAATGGAAAACCCAATAAAATCAAAGAGCCCTCAAAGTTTCCATCAGTTTCAATTAGCTCCCTCTTGATGTTACCCTAATGAATAGTGACTTGGAGACTCATTTTTATACTATAAAATAAAATAAACATTACAATAACTACAATTATAATTATTATCATAACTATATATATTACATATAACAAATAATAATATATTAAACACTTACAGATGTTGGATTTGTTTGAATGCCACTTAAAAAATTATACACTTTGTTTGGTTTCCCAATTTGACGCACCAACGTTTCAATTCCCTTATTATTAAGTCTGTTTCTCATCTTTCACAAGTTATTGTTTATAACATTAGTGTCTTGGCTAGATTTTTCACATGGAAATAAAGTAGAATTAAGCCTGTATTTTATCATATATATAATTCATGTATTGTTTTGTTACTCAATTTCCCTTCTTACTTCAAAAAATAGCCTAATTTTCTTTTTGCTTGATATATATTGCCGCCCAATTTCTTCTTTCCCGCTCCAAAAGGACACCCAAATTACGTTTAGATTGATCTATATTTGCGCTCAATTTTTGTTTGGGTTAATCTATATTGCCGCCCAAAAATGTTGAGATAGGAAAAAGTGTTTTTCTTCTTTGCATTTAGAGTGGTGTTTTGTTTTATGAATGTATGATTTGTTAATAGTGTCTATTAGTTGCAAATGTTGATACAACATTACTATTAACTAGTGTACTTTCTCAACTAATATTAATTACATGACAGGTTTGCAAGTCATATAAATTGATTCAACATTTTGACATGTTTTTTTTTTAATTGTTAAAGTATATATACGAGGTAGAAAGAAATTGTTTAAAAATTTTGAAACGTATTTTAAAATAATGTAATAAAATGTATAAGTTGGTAATGAGTAAGTAATTGCATGCGTTGACCAGAACAACCCGTAACTTGATCCGCCGACAACCCGCTTGACCCAAAACTCGATGAACTCGTAAACCGATTGAGCCCACCCGATGAACCCGCAACTCGATTGAACCCGAACCTGATGAACCACAACCTAATTGAACTCGAACTCGATAAACCACAACCCGATGAACTTGAAACCCAAGTCACCCGCAACCCAATTGAACCCATCCCGAGCCTGTCCGATTGAAACCTCTATTCTTACCTTTAATATATCATGAACATGTATTAAATAATGTATGGCATGCCAAGAAGTCATGTAGTAGCACATAAAATCGTTAAATGAGATAAAATTTCATCACACTTAACTTAATTAGTAACCCGGTCACACATGGAAATCACCGGGTGGGTTTTCTCATTTCTGTCGCTTAGATTGGGGACGTGCTTCCCCGGTCAGTCACTTGAATTCCCTGGCTGGATTTTTCACTCGAAACCAGACTTTTCTCATGTAAAAAATCTACAGTCTGACCCCTTAAATTTCCCGGCCGAATTTTTCACCCAGAAGCCAGGATTGTTGCCTCTCAAGATCACCATTTTGGTAATTTCTCCCTCAACTTTTGACCAAATTGATTGATTTTTGTTACTATTGAAACTAGATTCATAGGTCAACAACCTATCCAAATGTCAGACCATATGAACCAGTGGTATGGGTTTGACACTCCATTCAAGTGGGAGGTTCAAAACAGATTCTTACTTCTTCTTTCACTACTACCTTCCTTTGATCCAATTCATTCTTAACTCATAAATATGCATATTTATCATACTAACATGACTAAAAATGATTAAAAACCACTCTTGTACATTAATCTCCCCCTTAACTTTCTTTTCCAATTGGTTCAAGAGGAAAAAGGAAGTGACGCTACCTTTGTTCCCTTAGAGACTATCTGTTTCGTACACTCCCTGTCCATCCGCATTTTTCAGCCAACCAAAGATCATGTCAACGATCCCCAACGATCAGACAGAGACCAAGTTAGGGAATACTTTAGGGTTTAATTTGGTCCTTGGGCTAATTTGGTCCTCACAGGCAAGCGACGAAAATGGGCCACTATAGCCCATTTAATGGATATCTCCTATCCAGCCTAGCCGAGCGGCCCATCGGGAATGTTCGGCAGCCAACACGGTAACCAAAGAGAAAAAGAAAGAAGGGCAGACGCAGGAGCAGAAAAGCGAACGGGAATCCAAACGAGAGCTCAGATCTGCATAACACAAATATTCACAGCACCAATCATGCCTACCGGCTTCGTGTTCTACTCTGGTATGTGCTCTGATTTCTATGGTTTTTGTACGAATCAAGTTAGCCCTTTGGTCGAAATTGATTTCTGTTTCTTTCCAGCTTTGTTCTTTATTTTCGCATTATAGGGTTTAGATTTCATTCTGATTGTGCTATCCATTCCCCAACCCGCCCTTCTCAGGATCGTTTTCCATTTCGTTTGATTCTGAGCGAGGATTTTCAAGCAACCCGACCCCTCCTAAACCACCAAGTCGGAACGGTAATCAAAGTCAATTCCTTTATCTTTTCTGGCTAGCTGGAATTCTCTCTCCGTCTTCCTTCTAAACACAACACTAATCCTACATGGCTTTGTGGTTGTTTGGCTTGCGGTGGTAGGTATGGTGGCTTCTGAAGAAACTGTCATGAATTATCTTACTGAATATGGAGTTAATAATATCAAAAGTGTTAAGCTTGTTGAGCCCAAATTCCCCAAGAACTCATATGCAAGGCAATGCAATAATCTGCTAGAGCTTTTTGCAGAGGTATGTTTGATTTCTTGCTTATATTTTTCTTTCAAAAAAAGTGCCTTGCTGACTGCATTTCGTAAACCGTATTGTATATGCAGCGTATGGTCGAGGAGAATGTATTTGGTGCTCAAAGCTACCGCGAGGCTCTGCTGAAGTATTGTGGAGTTGATATTGAGTACTAGTCATTTTAATTACTAATCATAATCATGTATTTATGCATTGCCCATCAAACGTGCTATATCCCCATAATAGAGCACCCGATGAATGTAATCTTTCGTGTTATATCAATGACGATGGTAAATATATTGTGTACAGCAATCGTAAAATGTGCCATCAATAGCAAAACATGAGAAGAAACATGTTCTTGCCACCTCTCTCAGTTGTTTCTTGACGGTCACTGCTACCCTTTGATATTTGCTTTAGATACAGTCAATACAGAAACGATAAACCCAGGAAAAGCTCCAGGATAATGGGTTGCAATTGAAACATGATGATCACATATTCACATCGACTATGTACTTCTTGTACGGCCACTTGGTCCCAACTCATATTGAGAAGATCTCCAATCCACACAGGCGTTTAAATTTGTCAATTGGTTTTGGATCTGATTATCCTTTCTAGTCATTCACAAGCATCAGCACTCGCGACTCTGCACATTGAACCTTCGTACTGCTGTTCAAGAGTTAGCTCCTCCATGAATTTCAAGTGATTTGGTCCTGTGTCGGGTTTCAGCAGTCATCTTGAATCAGCAAAGAAACTGAAAAGTCTACCACTGACTGACAATATTGACATGAAATGGAAAGTACTTGACAAAAGCATTATGCTTATCAATGTTAGAATGAATTTTTATTCTTTTCAGATTTAGCGAGAGAAAGATGGCCTACATCAGCAGTCTGTATTACCTACAAGAAATCAGGCTTCTCTTTTGAAGTTCAGTCTAGAGTTCAAAAATATAATGCCCTGTCACAAGGTTTTTCTTATATAAGGGTGAGGAGATATTATTAGGGTAAAGGAAAGAGAGAACAATGATTACAAGAATTTATATGAGTTGAAACAGAGGGATAAAAGAAGGTTAAGTACAGTCACTACCTAAGAGAAAATGAACAAAATCAGCCACCTCATTGGATTGACCTGATGCACAAAACAAAGGCAGCAACCTTTGCAAGGCAAAGTAGCAGGACAACACAATTCAACAGGCAGTTGGCAGCCACACGGGCACATTTCAGCAGCTTAAAATCTGCAGCAGCATCCCGAGACATTTCAATGGCTTTAAGAGTAAGGGCAAACCAGCTGCACTATGGACAGCCACTCTATTTCACAATGTCTGCTAATTAAGCCACCCGCAGAGACCCAATTCAGAAGCAGTTTACAAATTTTTTGGAAGATCATCTGCCAAGGCTTTGTCTCATAGCGAAAGCATCTTGCATTCCGCTCTTTCCATATTTCCCACGTGAAAGCATGATGGATACACTTTAAAAAACAACCTTTCCATGAAGCTTGATCTTGGTGAGGCCAGTTTTTAATAATGTTGTCAATGCTGCCCAGAAAAGGTCCTGTGACTTCAACCATGTTCAGCAGTAAGTACCAAATCTGACTGCTGTAACTGCCTGCCACAAGGTTAGAGTGTCATGAACATCACTGAGCACTGGATAAGAAATGAAGCTCATGCTAAGAGCACTAACTTGTTAGTCAAGTATCAACAATGCAACTCACAGGAACTTAGCGATGTATCGATGTCTGTGTATTCACGAGAATTTTTAGACCAGAAGAGCTGAGAGGTGACACTTAAGCAAAAGAAAGGTTCAACAAATGAAAACCCAAGCAAGAGCCTGGCAACAGAAGGATGCCAAAAGTTTCATACATCCATTTAGTCTTCCTTTTACCTTACTTCTCTATGTTCTATTTTTTATCCTGTGAAGAACATTGTCGGGGATCACAAGACCCTTTCATTCAATATGGGAATATAGCTCTTACTTGTTGGTGGAATAGGCTTCTTCGTTCTCTAATCTGCGAACCCCCATACCAATGTTTAACCGTATTGGCAGTTGGGGTTAAGTTCCTAACCTTCGTTTCTGCAATTGCTAACTAGCATGAAAATGTTCCTCAGTTGGCTTCCTCAGTATGCTGTAATAACAAAAGCAAGTAATATAGTTGTCAGGAGTTTAGCAGTGACAGATCTCATCTCATCTGCACCCAAACTTTGTGGTTTTGCCTTTATTAAATTTCAAGCAACTTAATTAAAAGAAATGGTAATGATAATAATTATAATCAACAAATAAATGAAACTAAGAATAAGTAAACCACTTATGAATGCAATTGTTTGATTCAACCCCTACTAGGTTCTCCTTTACACTCTTGATTAATCAGATTGCATAGGGTCAGAGCATATCAAATCTGGATTCTACAAGCACCCTAACTCAAGTAAATAAGTTCAGTATATGAGACAATCATCAATAATCACATAAGAATGCAAAACAAATGTCCAAGAAGGAAGTCATGTATCTGAAGGAGCTGAATATAACAACAACGACGACAACAACTAAGAGTTCTTTCCCAGCAACATAATATACTTGTGCTCAAGTCAATGCCTCAGGTTAAGCCTCCACAATCATTATTTGAACCCTACTGCTGCATCCACTAGTATCTATAGATGAAAGGGAATGAATCGTTCCCCTTTCTTTTTTGTCATCAAGCTAATCAATCATCTAGATTAAGAGACAAGATGTATAGATAATATATAAAATTATTCTTTAATTTAGATTAAGAAAGCTAGAAATATATATAATATAGCTAACATCAGTACATCACCCATCCCCATAGAATTCTCATCAAACTAATACTTTATCCTAACAAAACCTATATAAGCAGATCTGTTAATAACCTCAACATTCTCATACCACTAACCAAATTTATTCACATTCAACTAATCAACTACTCCCAAAGTCTCACCCACTAAACCCCTCCATTACCCCACATATGAGTCAAAATCTTGACCCCCTTAGCCACTCCCCACCCAATCAAACCAAATGGACCATAACCCTTGTTGTCACCTCCCTTCCCAGACCCGTTGTTATCATCTTCAGATTCAGAATCCGAGTTCCCGTTGCTCTCTTTGACAAGTTTCTCCATCTTGCTTTGAATATCAGTAAGCCGGGTGTTCATCTCCACAATCTGACTCTTTTCTTGGGCTTCCGCAATCCCTGCAGCCTCTAGAATGCCATTGAGGGTTTCCTCCATCCTGTGCTGAGAAGCAAATGTGGCGACGGAGGAAACCTTCAATAGGTTCTCCACGGTGGAAACAGTAGTATTGCCAGACGAGAGCAACTCAGAAAACATCGCACGAACCGTCATTGCATCATCTGTTGATTCACCTTTGAGGGGAGGTTTCCCGGTGATCGAGTGAACTTCTCCCGTCGCGTCCTCCACGTCAGATCTACTGAAAACAATTTGGACTGTGCCCTTAGGGAGGCTCAGAGAGCTGAGCACCTCAACCGTTGCACCGCTCCTCAGCAGAACTCGGCACGCCATACTGGCCGGGAAAAGGAATGGAGAAAGAAGAGAGGATCGCCAGAGAAGAAGATACAGAGAAATACAGAGAAGAGAGTCTTTTCTGTCTGAGAAGAAAAAACAGAGAAAAGAGCGGTTCTTAACTTCTTATAGCCAGGCTGGGCCTAGCAAGGGGGCCAATTCTCTAGTGCCGGGACGGTACCAGTGATTGCCGGTTTTCTTTAGCCTTTTGTTTTCGGGTTAATTGCATGGTTGGTCACTGACATTACAAAAAGCGTTCATGTTTGGTCACTAGAAAAATTTAAATCTAACTTTGGTCACTAACTTTACAAAAACGGTTCATTTATGGTCACTCTCCGTTAGCTGCCGTCCAACACCGTTAACGGAGTCCGTTAAGTGATGACGTGGCTGACGGATTCGCCTAATCAGCACCTTTTGACCCCAAATTTGACCGACCTGACCTGCCACGTCATTTAAACCCTCCATCTCAGCAAAACCTAACCAAACCACTAACCAAATCAGACCACACCCGACCCGACCCAACCCACCAACCCATCTATCTCATTTATGTGGCTTTGTGACCGCAAGAATCCTATCAGCTTCCAAAAACCTACAAACCTTCACATCTCTCTCTCTTTTCTTCTCATCCCCTTCTCCTCTGGTAATGGCGGCACCTTTCTGTCGTTGTGGATTGGCATCAGCTCTCAAGACGAGCTGGACAGAGGCGAATCCAGGGAGGAGGTTCTACGGGTGCAGCAAGTATGGGGTAAGATTTCTGACTTTTCTGCTTTGATTTCTCGACCGCCTCTCCTTCATCCCTCTCTGTTTTTGTGCTTGGATCTGTAGACAGATGGGGCATGTAATTTCTTCAGATGGCATGACCCAGTAGTTGACGAGCATATGAAGTTTGTGGTGCTGAACTTTCATCGTCGGATTCGAGAACTAGAGAAGAGGCAAAATGGGCAAGGGTCCAAAGCTAATGGCTGCCCAGTGTTCATCTTCATTGTGATTGCTCTTGTCTTTTCTTTCATCTGGATGGGATTGGGAATGTAAGAAGCTATTTCCTCAACCTTGCTGATGTAAACCTTTCTGCCGCTGTAGATTGTAACCCTAGAAAAATCAAATTTCACGTATTGTATCTGAAAGTTTATGTTGCACGATTGGTCACTCCAAAACATGTAAAGGTCCACGATTGGTCACTCCAAAACATGTAAAGGTCCACGTGTGGTCGCTCCAAAACATGTAAAGGTCCACATGTGGTCACTCAAAAACATTTAAAGGTCCACATTTGGTCACTCAAAAACATGTGAAGATCCACATCTGGTCACTCAAAAACATGAGAAGATCCACATCTGGTCACTGTAAAACATATAAAGGTCCAAATCTGGTCACTAAAAAACATGTCAGGATCCACATCTGGTCACTCTAAAAGCATGTGACGTCCATTTTTGGTCATTAGACAAGGGCAGATTTGGTCATTAGAGAAAGCCAGATTTGGAACCACACTTCAATACCTAACTGTTCTGCTACACAGTATTTGACATTTAAGTTGGAAACAAATAGATCACAACTAGAATTCATTCATAATTAGTGCACTAACGGCTATGTTGTCCAAAAGAGCCATGCATAATTAACAAGTTCCTTTTCCATGGACTTGTATGACAAAATAGCAAATCCATATTGATTTGCAAAAGGCCTTGGAGGCTTAAAAGTTCAAAATAACCATTCACAACTATCCAACTGCCCACTACACCACCTAAATCTACTATTCACAGCTGCTCTGCTGAGTCACTTGGCTTGCAATCTGTGAGAGTTGAGAGCCTTGACTTGATGGCCTTCGAGAACTTCCCTGCAAATTAACCCACATTAGTATGCTGGAAATATTTGTTAAAGGCGGGGAAATGAAGAAAGGGGAAGTATTTTTTACATCTGGCATGAGCTGAACCACGTGTGGGGGCTGCCTCGACGATGAAGAAGCAGCAGCCTTTGCAGCTTTCTCCTGCAGCTTCTTCAATGCAGCAAGTCTATTTCGCTCAGCCCTTTCAAGCTGTTGCTTCCTTTTTGACTCTTCCTTCTCTTTCTTCCTTTCTTCTGCCTTCTGTTTCCTTGCTGGATCATGGAAAGCCTTGTTGTGGCCTAGTGCACCACAAACTTTGCACTTGTATTTCTTCCCTTCCGGTTTTGATGCTTCTCTTCCCCCCTTCTTTTGTTTCTTCTTGGCTTCTGCTTCTTCATCCAATCCCTTTCTCCTCTGTTTCTTTGGTCTTCCTCTCTTCTTCGAGTTTTGAACAGGAGGTATGCCACAATCTCCCAACTCGGACTGTGGCCAATAATCCTTACCACTGGTTGGCGAAATAGAATGCTCATATATGGCTGCTGCGGTTTCCTTGGTGTAACAATTTGCTACATACTCATACAACTGAGTGTTTCCCACACCAATTGCCTGGATTGCATGCTGACAAGGGATCCCAGTTAACTCCCATCGACGACAAGTGCAAGTCTTCGACTTCAAATTGACCACTACCTGCTTGTCATGCCACTTCACTTCAAACTGACCCCTTCCATTTGAAATAGCTGTCCACTTCACAGCTTCTTCTTCCCACTCCCGCAGCTTCTTCTCAATTTTTTCCGTCAAAGGACCTGGCCACTTGATGATATCTTCTTGTCTACGAGCGATTAGGAGCATCAAGTTCCTCCTAATCCCCTCCCACATGCTAATCGGACCCAAATCCCTTTCCTCCAATATACTGTTGTTCCAACTCTCTACATTATTGCTGCTGAGAATATCACAACTGGTGTAAGTTAGGAAATGAGACCTGGTCCAATGATAGAAGGGCTTCTCTATCAGCCAATCGTAGGCTGACTTATTAAGATCGGACAGCAGCTGCATATTATGTTTGAACTCCGCTACAGTTGTGGACCTAGCTGCTGTCCAAAATAAGTTCTTCAAAGCTTGGCCACCTCCACAAGCACCCTTCAGATTTGTCCACAAGTGTCGTGCACAGTGTCTCTTTTCACAGTTAGGAAACATTTCGTCAAGTGCTGGCAAGAGACCCTGAAGACAACAAACAAACACCAATCATGTCATTACCAAGGAACCAAATAAAAATCAGCAACTAAATAAAAATCAGCAACTAAATAGAGTTTTTACCTTTTGTTTGTCAGACATAAAAGTCCAACCAGGAGAGTCCATTATACTCAAGTCGTCCCTAACATTACCAAGGAACCATTCCCAATTTTCCTTGTTCTCCACTCCAACATGAGCAAATGCAACTGGGTAGTATTGGTCATTGGCATCCACACCAACTGCTGATAGTAGCTGCCCTCCATACTCGTGCTTCAAGAAGCAACCATCCACAATTAACACCTGTCTACATCCAGCCTTGAACCCCATTTTGGATGCCGCGAAACACACATACATCCGGTTGAAGCATTGTTCTCTCTGCTCAATGATAACCGTAGAGTTGGGATTGCTCCTCCTCAACTCTTCGGCATAATGATACAAGGACCTATACTGTTCCTTCAAACTCCCACGAACCGCCTCAATTGCTGCATGTCGTATCCTCCAAGCCTTAGAGTTCTTCACATCTTCTTTGTAGTCTTCTTTCACAATGTGCTTCAGCAAGGCCCTTTTCATGTTCCTATCACATGCCATCTTCTTACTTAACTTGGAGCCGAGAAACTTTGCAGTTGCGTACTTGACCTTGAAGGTCTTCCTACAATCAGGTGAGTGCTCAACCTTGCACTTCTTGATTTGGACAGAATCTTCGGTGCTCATCTTCGAAGCCCAAATGTACCAATCACATGGAGGATCGCACACTACTTGCAGCCGCTGTCCATCATTCTTTTTAAAGCGTACTGGCCTCTTCTCGACGAAAGCATGCTGTTTTATTGCATCTTTTAAGACTCTAAAACTGCTAAACTTCTGGGAAGCAGCAAAAGTAGGCATCTCCATGTCACGATCAACCCGGAATTCATGAGATTGGTCTCCTTCATCCGAGTCTGAGCTTACAATGCTCCTACGATCATCAGAGTCTGGATAATCAGCCCCTTCACTTTGTAGTTCAGGATAATCATCCATGTCAAAGGTACCCATGTCGGCTTCCACCTCTTGATTGATATTTGCTGCAAATTGTGCATTGTCCCTTGCACTATCTTCCTCTGAATCCTCCAAATAGTCGCTGTCTTCATCCTCATGATAGTCAGAATCACCTAACAGATCATCTCCAGCAACATTTTTTCCCTTTCTTCTCAAACTGGAAGCCTCCATTTCTTCAACTTCACTATCCAATAGATCTTCAAGATCATTAGCCGAGAAAGCATACAGCTCGATGACTCTTCCCTCGCCGTTGGCCGCTATTGACATGCTTAGAATATCTTCATCATTGACAATCTCGGACATTGCATCATTGCAAGGATCTTTCCAGAAGAACCTCGGCTCTTTAATCTTCCCACCACACGCCTCATATATGCCAGGAAGGTCGAGCACTGAAAGTTCATCAATGTCGGCATAGTCCCAAAACACAGTGGAGGTTTCATTGAGGAAATGCTTGCCGCCAACCTCTTTCACTTCATGGGACACATGAACTGCAAAGGTGAACTCTCCACTTGAAGGAGCTGTTTGGCAAAACAAAAGCAATTGAAAGGAGTTAATTTCAAAGACAGAATATTGAGCAGTTATGGAGCTGTTTGGCAAAACAAAAGCAATTGAAAGGAGTTAATTTCAAAGACAGAATATTGAGCAGTTATGGAGCAGCAGGTAAGTAGGTGGTCCTGTCCCACCATTTTCTATTAAAAGACAGACTAAGTCAAACCCTAAGGCTGCATTTTTCGTCATTCTAACAGAGTCCTGAATTTTTCTATTCCAAATTGATGTCCTCATCTCTAGTAAATGCCAACTGTGGAAAAGGACAACCCATACCAACCATCTACCATCAAAACCAGCCATGTACCATAATGACAAAGGCAAAAACGACAGGAGACTTACCATAGTTAGGGTGAGTTGAATTCGGAGCCCGCACATGCCCCACCATGTTTCCTTCAGTAGTGAAATGGTGACCTGGAGGAAAGGGACAAGAGCCTGCAGGTTAGTATAAAACAAAGGAAAACGAGAACCCCCCAAAAGCTTCTTCTTACCACTCGAAACTTTCGTCTGACCCTTATTCCTTTCTCTTTTTCACACTTTTCAGACTT